AGGCGCGACTTCACAGTCAGGGCGGCTACGGTCTGGAACCAACGTCCAAGAGAAGTGGTGCTGGCTCCTACCCTGGGGGGCTTTAAGAGGAGGCTAGATGTACACCTTGCTGGGGTCGTTTGACCCCAGTACTCTTTCCTGCCATGGCAGGGGGTCGGACTCGATCTACTCAGGTCGCTTCCGACCCTAGAAACTATGAAACTAAGTAACGGCCACTGCCTCTGCCCCATGGGACACCTGACAAGGCTGGAAGTAGCCTGCAGCCCCTTGTAACTGGCTGCGACAGGACCTTGGGTCTGTGCATTGCAGGGAACCTGGAGTCCGAGCATACAGGGATCACACTGGGGTACGTGGCCATGGCTATTCCACTGGTGTTGGCCACTGGGGTTCTACTTCTGGTGGTCATGCTCTCCGGGTTGGTCCTGGGTATGTCTCAGGCCCACTCTGCTGAGCCCCAATGGCTTCTGGGGGTTGTGGCAGGGACAGGAGCAGTTTGGGGGTGGAATGTGGCCCCTAGTGCAATGGTGCTGCGGCCTCCAGCCCATGCCTGTGCAGACAGAGCCCTGGCACCTCCTCCCCTGGGCTGAGCTGAGCTGGGCTGGGCTGGTCCTGCAACTGTTCCTACCAGGTAGGAAACTGGTGCACACCTCCAACCACCACCATGCCCAGATCACAGATGGAGATATTAAGTAAAACCGGTCCCTGGGGCACTCCACCTGATACCAGCTGCCACCTCAACATCAAACTTTTCAGAGCCTGACGATCCAGCCAGTTTTCTATCCACTTTATAGTCCATTCTTCCAACCTGGACTTCCTTAGATTGCTTGTGAGAGTGTTGTAGGAAATGCCATCTAAAGCCTACTCCCTACAGCGGGATCCAGAGCCCTCTGCTACTAGTGCCTGGAGCTGCCCGTGGTGGTGTCCCTGCCTTGGCCCTGAAGGCCCCAGCCACAGCCCAGCTGGCCAGGCATGGTGACCCTCTCTGCTCTGCAGACCAAGGTGGGACAAGCAGAGGCCTCTGGACCAGCTTTGCAGCTCAGCACTGACACTTGCTGCCCCACACCTCTGCACAGAGGGGCCCTTCAGAAAGGAGGTGATGCTGGCACAGGGCTGCAGCAACATGTGGCCCTGGGGGGTTGTGTGCACTGTGTGCACCTGTGTTGGAAGTTTGGGTCCATCCCAGGGATGCTAGGACAGACCCTGCAGTGAGTCACACAACAGTGGCCAGGCTAAAAGGGTCCCAGACATACAGCAGGGATGGTTCCCCCAGCTCTGACCTGCTCTTTCCTGTCCCCAACCTGGGACCACAGCTGGATTCCCAATGCCCCCAGGGCAGGCACCAGGAGGTCACAGAGGATAGACATGGGGCCACGGGAGAGTGCTGGAAGGAGGCAGACCATACCAATTAAAAGATTTTACTGGTGCAACATAGAGCACCCTGGGCCCATCCTAGTGTTGAGTTCACTTAGTCTTGGTGCGGTGCCAGCCGAGCCTGCTCCACACAGTGTCTGCCACCCCACAGGCACTGGCTGCTTCATGGAGGAGAGGGCCTGGCAGTGCCGTATCCAGGAGCCAGCACAAGCTTGCTGGCAGGGGTAGGTCAGAAACAACAGGGCGGAAGTGAAGTAAGAGAGGACACGACTGAGCACGGAAAAGACCCCATGTCCTAGGCTCCTGCCCAGCCAGACGGAGAGCGTGGACTGCAGGAGGGTGCTGTGTCCCCCCATCTCTGGGGCAGGCAGGCAGCCCCGCTTCCCGTCCTCGTTGCAGGCAGTGGAGAGAGTTCCCTTCTGGTCTCTGGGGCTGGAGCAGCGAGCCTGGCTGCCCCGTTCCCCCAACATGAGCTGCAGCTCCAGGTCTGCTACTGCCCACGTTTTCATACGAACAAAACACAAGGCTCCCAGTCCATTTGTGGGCACAACACAGAGGTGGAACGGCTCCTGAGGGGGTCCGTGGTCCCCATCACTGACAGAGTTGTCAGAAGAAGCAGCAACAACAGGTCCTGGCCCCAGGCGGCCACTACTTGAAGTTCCCATAGATCTTAAAGGAGTCCAGGTAGCTGAGGGCGAGCTTGTAGCAAAACTCGTACTGATTCTGCAGGGAGAGGAGCACGGGTGAGACCCCCCATCACCCAGGCACAGCTCCCCCAGGGCTGCCAGCCTGGCCTTGCTCCTCCAGACACAGAGACTCCTCCAGCCCCCTGCCATGGATCCATGACTGCGTAGACCTGTGCGCTCAGGGCTTTGCCTCTTGCCAGGCCAGGAGTCGGCCACAGCATTTGGGCTGTGCCCGGTGACCCTGTATCCCATAAGCCACAGACCTCGTTTCCCCAGAGCCCTTAAGAAGAGCTATTTCCCTCTCCCTGCAGATGCTGCTGCTCCCGGGAGGAAAGGCCTGGGGCGGTGTGGCTGGAGCAGTGGGTCCTGGGTGGGGGACAAGCACTTACCACATCCTTGACCAGCTGCCACCGCTGCCGCTTCAGCATCCTGACGGCCTGGGACACGTCCACCAGCCCCTCGCTGCGGATCTGCTCGCACAGGAAGCCAGCGGCGCAGAAGAGCCCGCACCGGCTGGCACCGTCCCTGAGGAGGGAAGCAGCAGGATAGGTCACGGGGACTGGGGCTCACCTGAGGGGTCTCCTCGTGGCCACCCACGGGGCCCGGGGTGGGAACTGATGGGCTCTGGGCCCTTCCAGAGCCCCTGCTCACCAGCAGGTGACAAGCACGTGGCTGTCCTGGTTCTGGCGCTGGGTCCTCTCCACCTCCCCCAGCAAGCTGATGATGGTGGCCGGGCATGGCGGGAGCTCCTGCTGCATGGGCCAGTCGTCCAGCTGCCAGAACTTGACCTCCAGCATGGCCTTCTTGGGCTGGGGAGAAGAGGGCAGTGAGACAGGAATGGGATCTGGGCAGGGAAGGGACCGCTGGGACAACACAGGGGAGGTCTATCCCCATCACCAGCCATGGGGAGGCTGCCCCAAGGCTGGGCATGACTTCCCCACCATGGGAACATCATGCCCCTTCCACATGCCCACCCAGGCCCTGTCTCCACCCCTGAGGACTCGCGAGATCCAGATGCTGAGCTCACAAGGCAGCGATGCTCCACTTGAAAAAGCCTCACTCTGGGGAGATGACGGGGCTGGGGAACAGCTGGCATCTGAATGACAGTGCTGTCCCTACAACAGTGCCCCGCAGCACCTGGCCACAGCAGCCTGGCTCTACCCAGACCAGTCACAGTGTCACGAGAAGTGGGGCTGGAAGGGACCTCTGGGGTCACATCTAGTCCAACCCCTGCCTGAAGCAGCATCGCCCCTATGCAGACCGTCCCAATGTGTATATTCATCTGGGGCTCATTGCCTTCCAGATGTGTCTGGATGAAAGGACCGCTATTAAAAACTTGTTGTTATAAATGGTCCAGCTTGCTCTTTCCTGGACACTGCTTAGAGCATCACAGAACTGGCCTGGGAAGGTGAATGAGACCAGCTTTCATTTGTGACATTGTTTACCTCCGCAGAGCGTTTAGCAAATGTCAAATGATCTGAGTGTTCGCTCGAGTTGCACGAAGCGACATGGGTGCACAGAAATGCTGCCTTTGGTTAGTGCAACAGTGGCATGACAAGGAGCTGGTAGCTCTGATAATTCTGCACTGGGGAGGCCACATCTGGAGGCCTGTGTCCAGCTGTGGCCCCCCACCTCAGAAAGGATGTGGACACATTGGAGGAAGTCCAGCGGAGGGCAATGAAAATGGTTGTGGGCTGGGGGACATGACTGGTGAGGAGAGGCTGAGGGAAATGGGCTGATTGAGTCTGCAGAAGAGAAGACCGAGGGGGATTCGATAGCAGCCTTCACCTCCCTGCAGAGGGGCTGCAAAGAGGATGGAGCTGGACTGGTCTCAGTGGGGGCAGACGACAGGACAAGGAGCAGTGGGCTCAAGTCACAGAAAGAGGGGTTTAGGGTGATATTAGGAAGAACTCTCATGAGGAGGGTAGTAAAACACTGGAGAGGCTGGGAAGTCTCCATCGTTGGAGGTTTTTAAGATCTGACATGACAAAGCCTTGTCTGGGATGATGTAGTTGGGGCTGGTCCTGCTTTGAGCAGGGGGCTGGACTAGATGCATCCTCCCAAGGTCCCTTCACCCCTCCTTGTCTGTGATTCTCTGCTTCTGACAAGTGCCAGTGCTGGCATCGCCCTCTGATTTTTGTGTCCAGCTCAGCCCCCAGCCCTGACTGAGCTGGGTCTGGGTCTCTCTGGATTCCCAGCTGGGACAACCAGTTCTTCTGGGATAGCTGAGAGGGCAGAAGGCCCCAGTCTGGCATGTGTCTAGGCCCTACCTGCTGCTTGTTGGCTACGGCAAGTGTCCGGATGGTGAAGCCAGCTCCCAGCTCCTCTGAGATCAGCGTGACTTGGAAACGGCCGTAGGTGGACTCTCCGTGACTGGGCCAGAACTCCAGGTAGGTCTGGGGAGAGACCAGACGTGAACGCACGTGGGCACATGCATATGTGTGTGTGCACACAGGTGGGATGCACACAGCACCATTAAAAGACACCCAAGCACATGCACATCCACACCTGTGTCCACACACAGGCCTCAGCAGAGAGGGGGGCATCTCATGCATGTACACATATCTACACCTATGTATTTTCTGCCAGCTTTCCATGCATCTGTACACACACACACACACACACACACACACACACACAGCTGCAGACAAACACTGACACTCCCGGTGCTGCAGATGGGACAGGGAGAGATGTATGTAGCAAAGCCCCCACGCAGACACTGGTGAAGGGTCGCACCCCCCATACCCTCACTGCACACACACGGGTGCCAGCACGCTCACACCATCCCGCTGCTGTCACCTGGCCTTGCACACCCCCAGAGAGCCAAGCAGAAAGAGGGTCCAGTCCCACCTCCTGGGATGCTGCTTGGAAAGACAGAGGTGGGGGGTTGCAGTGAGGATCTAGAGGCAGTCAAGCCCCGTGTCAGGGAAAGAAACTCTCTGTGTGTATGTGCAGGGTGACTGCCACCCCCAAGTTCAGCCCAAGCCCACTGGGAGCCCACAAGGATGCTCTAGCAGCTTCCCCAACACCCAGTGAAGCATCTCAGGGCCTTGCCCTGAACTCCCCGGCCCTGGTGCTGGCAGCCCACAGATGAGCCCACATGCAAAGCTGACCTGGTCCAGCTCCTCGATCCGATTCAGTAGGACCAGCGAGGTGCAGGTGTAGTCCCAAAGCAGAGCCCAGAAGTCCACCACCGTCTCCTTGAGCGGCAGCTGGGTGACGATCACACGGTCGTCTTCAGCGTACGTCTGCATGATGGATAGACAGACAGACAGACCGGGTGCAGCCACCGCCAGAGCAGAGCATTGCATAGGTCCTTCAACCCCATGTCCTGCCCTGACCGTGCTGCTCTGCTCAGTCCAGCCTATCTGTGCAGGTCAAAGGGATACAAGCCAGGGGGCCCAGATCCAAGCCCCGGGGGCTGCACTAACTTGGGATACACAAACCCCACTTCAGAGCAGCTAGGAGCCAAACCCATGCCCCTTCTCTCCCCCATACCGGGGCTAAACTGAATTGCTTGCAGAGGGGGACAGCTCGGCTGCAGCGGCTGCATGCTGGGGTACGGCTTGGGGAGCTGGGCAGGGCTCTGGGAGCATTTAGCCTGATCCTCAGGGGCTCTTTCCTAGCACCCAGGGTGGAGACAGACGGAGAACCAGGCTGCTGCAGCGTTTTGAAGCAGAGCAGACAAAGCCTGGGCAAACAGACTGGAGGGGCTGCTCCTGCCCTGGGGCTGGGGCCAATGGGATCTCCTGGCACCTGGACAGGACACAGGGGTCTGGAGCCTTACGCTGACAAAGACTGCGTTGATGTAGCCTGGCGAGCCGTCCAGTTTCAGGGAGGACATCAGGATGGGGCGGCTGCGATCCGCTGGGAGAGGAAAGGGCAGAGAAAGTCAGGGCATGAGCCAGATGGCTACAGAAAGCTTGAAATCAGGAGCCAAAGGCTTTGGTGGAGAAGCCCCGGTATCCAGGTTCAGCGCCCAAGGGCCCCTCCTTGGAGGATACACAGGACAAAATGAGAGGAGCAGCCACCATTGGCACTGCATCCCTCAGCCCCCGTGGAGCAGGCTGGGGTGGCAGTGCTGGTGGTACGAGCCCTGGGGAAGGCTGCAGCTGCCCTAGGGACCGTGCCCTCTGCTCCATGCTGCCAGCCTCCGGTGCTGGCACGGAGCGCTACTGGAGATGCCCCTGCCCCAGCAGGCCCAGGAAAGCCTCATTAGGTGAAGGTGCTTGGGATGAAAAAACAAACCCCAAAACATGGAGAATTTGAGTTGGAAAAGAAGCTCCCCAGGGTGCAGCGAGACCCCTGGAGTTGCACATTTCAAGCCCAGAAGGGACCATTATATCTCATCCAGTCTGACCCTCTGGGTTGCACAGGGTGGGCAATCCCCCCCAGCTGCACTTGAAGGGGCTGGGGGGGACTGGCTGCAGTCTGTGGACAGACCCTACTGCAAAGCCCAAGAGGGCTGGGGGGCAACAATGCTGAGACCTAGGAGGGAGGGCTCAAAAAGCAGGACCCCTGCACGCCGGAGTGTGGCCCCCCACCAGCCCGGCCCTGCGGCACCTGGCAGGATGGTCAGCTTGCGGTTCTTGGGCTGGTTGCTGGGCTTCTCGGCCTCTCTGCACGCGGAGAGCTGGAACAGCTCGGAGAACTTCTGCAGTGCCTGAGGGGACAGGGCAGCCGAGTCAGCTCCCAGGTCCCGGCTAAACCCCCACCCCTCAGGCCTGCCCGTAATTTGGTGACACCAGAGATGCATCCCTGAGCCAGAGATGATGGGCAGAGGGGCTCATTTCACAAGCGGGTCCTACTTGCTTCTTGGGCTGGGCCCCAGCAGCAGTGAGGGGGAAAGGAAATGTCGTGCACAACGTCTGGAGAGCCCCAGGCTCTGGGAGCAGCCCTGGACCCTGCTCAGCCCAGAGATGCTTGAGCCTGTTTCCTGCTTGGCCAGGCCAGGTCTGGGGGAGCGCAGGGTCCCGGCTTACAGCAAAAGCACCAGCTCAACAGCAGGATCTCTGCAGTGATAAAAGGTCTCGGGAGCACCCTGATCCCATTACTGAATAGGCCAGAAGGGGCAGGACTATAAGCCCAGCTGCCAGGGGAGAGCAAGGCACTTGGACCCGGAGCTGGCAGAGGAAGGAGATGCCTGCCACAGGCGGCAGAAGCTGGATGTTCGGCTGTGAACAGCGAACAGGCATCAGGAAGGCCAGAGCTGGGATAAAATTGAGGAGGAGGGTTAGGGCTGGAGGGACATGACTTTGATCGAGTGGACTCCTGGTTGTAGGAGCTGAGGCAGCACGGCCCGAGGCAGCCGGACTGGGAGCCAGGAGGGCACTCCAAGGGCATGCATAGCCTATGTCTTGTTCACATGTATTTGGGCTAACAAGCCCCGCAGGCAAAGCAAAGCCCATGGGATGCCTGGGGACTGATTTAACCCAGAGAGGTGCATGGGGTACTACAAGCCCTGTGGATGGCTCATTTGGGGCCAGGAAATCCATGAGGTGACGGTGTGGGGTGCAGGACATGGACTAGGTTGCTATAGAGGGCGAGAGCCCAAAGGAAGGACTCTCTGGAGAGCAGGCCTGAGCGGTGAGATGCCGAAGCACCAGGGTGCATGTGAATGCTGCTCCCAGACTGCAGACAGAAAAACGGAGGCTCTGAAAGTAGCGGGTTGTCGATGCCCCACAGCAAGTCTGTCCGCCCTAGGAGGAAAACCCAGTGGTGCCATGCGGGGGGCTCAACCCCTGCTCCTCCCTCGGTCCCCTGGTACCTTGAACTCCTGCATGAGCCTGCTGGTCTGCGTCTGGGGGTCGAGCTCCTTGAGGTGGCTGATGTGGCTGCAGAAGCTCTCCACTGGGACCCCCGTGTTGCTGCACACCAGCCCTTCCAGCAGCACCTCGTACAGGAAGGCGTACTGCTCCTGCAAGGGTAACACCATGTCACGGCCCTGCTCCAGCCTGCTGGCACCCAGGCGTCACCCCAACGTGGTGGGGCAGCCTGAGCAGACAGAGGATCCAGGCACAGCGTACCCTCCAGACCCTCAGAGCCTTCCCCTTCCCCCATGCCATGCTTTGCCCCATACCCTTGAAAATTTCCTGTGGTGTCCTAAGCTCATCCCCAGGCCCCTGCCAGTGCAGCTCCAAGTGCCCGCCAGGTATTAAAGTGTGGTACAGATGTGGAGCAGACAAACCTAGGGGGACTGGAGCCTGGCAAAGGGATCCAGGACCCCCCAGTCATCCAGCACAATGGGGGTGAGCTTGCTGGTGAACAACCCCATGCAGCCGGGACACTGGCAGATCCAGGCCGAGGGTCCTGGGGGAGCTGAGCACCCAGCCGGGATCAGAGCTGAGGTTGTTGGCCAGGGAGGGTGTTACACAGACAGCACCTGCCAGGTTGCAGGAGGTCCCTGGAGAGCAGGAAGGAACCCCTTGTTCCAGGGACCCCTCGCCCCGGGGGCCATGCAGTGGATGGGGCTTGACCCCCCAGACTCTGCTGCCTGCCGGACAAGCTGGCCTGGAGCAGGCGCCGCCCTCACCTTAGTTTGCACCATGCTGACCCGCCGCTCCCGCAGCTTCTGCACGCACTGGAAGACGTCCACCTTGCCCTCGGCCCTGGCCATCTTCAGGAGGGAGTCCAGAGCGATGAAGGTGCCTGTGCGGCCGATCCCTGCACTGAAAACCGGGGAGAGAGAGTCAGGAGCTTGTTGGGGGACCTGGCCCCTGGCCCCCCGGGAGCCCCCACCGGTACCTGCAGTGCACCACCACGGGGCCACCAGAGGCCTCCGACACCCTCTTGTTCACTATCTCCACGAGATGCAGGAGCTGGGCTGGGTTTCGGGGCACACCGTGGTCTGGCCACAACTGGTAATGGAGCTGCTCCACGAGTCTCGGAAGGGGACAGCCCGCCTGCAAGAAAATGGAGCATGGGTTGTGCGGGGGGAAACCATCTCAGGGGTCTGCCCAGGGAACTGAGGATGCAGGAGCCAGCAGTGGCGAAGGATCCACCAGCATGCAGGACCCCCTCTGAGGCCAATGTCCCCCCAGGCCAGTGCTGGGATCCCAGTGCTCAGAGACCACTAAGCTGCCATAGCTCCTAACGAGGACGGCAGAGATGAGGGGAGGGGTAAGACCGGCAAGCTGAGGCCAGCCTGCTTCTGAGTCCAGCCAGACTAATGACAGTGCTTTGCATCCACATAGCCAACAGTACCCAGATGACATCCTGCACTGGCTGAGACGGCCGGGCCTGCTCCAGGAAAGTTGTGAGAGCCTTGGAGCAGGCTCAGAAACAGCTCTCGCATCAGGCTGGGGCTGAGCCAGGTGATACCCGGGGGGTTGCAGGTAATGGCTGGGACAGGTGACACTGAGGGGGGTCCTTTCTCTAGACAGACCCTACACAGAGCCCCCAAACCCCATCTTCCAGGGTGCTTTTCATCTCAGCATCTGCACCATTGGCCATTGCAGGGCATTTCTGGGGACCCAGCCAGCGGCAGCACCCCTGTGTGAGCCTCAGGGTGCTTGCCCCATGCTCCAGCGAAACAAGTGATGAAGCTCACCCTGGGCCTGCAGAGTCCCCTCTGCCCGGCATCTCCCAGAAAGGGCAGGGCAGCCTTGCTGCATCCGTGACGCGAAAGGACATCCCATGCCGGGGGTGACTTGGCCCCCTGCACTTTCTCTGCCCTGCTGAACTCACCTTCTGCAGGCGGAAAGTGCGTGTGATGAAGCCTGTGGCCATCCTCATGTTGCTGAGCGTCACTGTGAAGTCCCTGTACTCCTGCTCCTGCTCCGGCCAGTACTGCTCGCACTTGGTCTGTCAATGGCAGGGAGAGCCCTGAGCACTAGCACGAGCAAGCGTGTGGCCCGGGCAAGCCCCATTCGGCTGCCACAGCGCTTGTGAGTAGGGAAAGGAGCCTGGGATGGCCCTGCAAGATGGAGCCAGGTCTGGCCTGAGAAGGGCAAGCTGGGGCCCAAGACCTCGGCTGTGCCCGGCATGTCCCAGCCATGCCAGCATTGCAGGCACTACCCACAGCACACCCCCTGGACCCCCTCCAGGCTTCCTCATGGCACAAGCCAGCTTCCTTGGGCTACCCTGAGGGCACAGTTAGCACAAGGGGAAATACCCCATGGGGGGAAGGACTAGAGGGCACTGGGGAGAGGAGGAGAGTCTGGAACCCGCTTTCAGCTCTGCCCCACTGCTCCCTCTGGGACTTCCTCCCTGTCTCGTTGGTCCGTTCCCCGTGGGCTCCCTGGGATGGAGATACCTCCTCAAAGAGTCTACTCTGGGGGCAGGGAGCCTCCCTCCCCACAGAAAGGGCCAGCGCTTTATCAAGAGGTACTGCAAGTGCCCGGACCCATGGGACTTGACCCCATGGGACAGGGGCCTCAAAGGCATCTGCCTCTGAATCACAGAATAGCAGACAGTGAGGGTGGAAGGGAGCTCAGGGGGTCACATCTAGTCCAGCCCCCTGCTGCAGGCAGGACCAGCCCCAACTGCATCATCCCAGCCGAGGCTTTGTCTACCCGGGGCTTCAAAACCTCCAAGGATGGAGACTGCACCACTGCTCTGGGGAGTCTGTTTCACTACTTTACTACCCTCCTAGTGAGAAAGTTTTTTCTAATAACCAACCTAAACCTCCCTTGCTGCACCTGGAGCCCATTACTCCTTGTCCTGTCATCTGCCCCCACTGAGAACAGTCCAGCTTCATCCTCCTTGCAACCCCCCCGGCAGGGAGCTGAAGGCTGCTATTCAATCCCCCTCAGTCTTCTCCTCTGCAGACTCAATCAGCCCATTTCCCTCCTCCTCTCCTCACCAGTCCTGTCCCCCAGCCCCCAACCATTTTCATTGCCCTCCGCTGGGCTCTCTCCAATGTATCCACATCCTTTCTGCAGTGGGGGGCCCGCAGCTGGACACAGGACTCCAGATGTGGCCTCCCCAGTGCTGAACAGAGGGGAGGAATCATTTCCCTTGACCTGCTGGCGACGCTCCTACCAATGCAGCCCAGGATGCCAGTCGCCTTCTTGGCACCAAAGGCACACTGCCGGCTCCTGTTCAGTTTATCATCCACTGTCACTCCCAGGTCCTTTTCTGCAGAGCTGCTGCCCAGCCCATCACCCCGCCTGCACCGGTGCATGGGATTGATCCATCGCAAGTGCAGGACTTTGCACTTGTCCGTCCTTCTCTACCTTATTCTGCTCCACCAGGTCAGTTAACATCACAATGACTGAGGTCTTCTCCTGCCAGATCATCTGCCAGAAGTCCTCCACCGTCCCCTGCAGTGGGCCTGTTGGGTGGGAGAAAGCACCACATCAGTAAGACATCCCCACACTGGAGGCAGCAGGGCATGGGGGGCAGTGGGAAGCCCCCACCCTCGCCTTGTGCTCAGCCCAGTGGACCTCACGGTAGGACAGAGCAGAGTCTCGCGACATGAACTGTGCAGAAGGGCATTGAGTCTCGGCTCTTCAGTGCATCACCTGAGTGATCCCCCCACCTCATGCAACCCCCACTCATGCAGAGCCCTGCAGCAACATTGCTGTAGCTGACAGGCATCCCTGCTCACCCCACCCCTGGCCCAGGGCCACGAACCCTGGGATTTTGCTTCTGAAAGCAAAATCCTTCCCATATAAACAGGGCTTGTCTACAAAGGGAAGTCACTACAGCAAAGCCAGGGTGCAAAATCACCATGGAGGGGTGGTAGCTAGCTTTAGCATGTCATTTAAGGAGCTGGTAATCCTGCATCCCCCCTGGCCATTCCCTCTGCACCAGGCCTGGAGCCAGGGGATGAGGGTAGGTGGGCCCCTGGGCTGGCAGCTCCTCCACTGCTACCCCATGTCCTGGGAATGGGGGAACTGGACGGCGAGCTGCCCAGAGCTGAGCTGAGTGCCCAGCCCCACCTCGGCCCCATACCCGGGAACACTCACCCTGAGCCGCGATGAAGAAGCGGGGGCTCCTGTAGCTCTGTGGGAGGCAGAGAGACGGACAGCACAAATCATATGATGAATACAAATGCGATTAATTAAATGAATATATTTTCCAGTCCTGTACTAAATACTGACATCGTATCTAAGGCACGCTACATCCTGCTTGCCATCTGATAACCCCAGGTAACCCACCTGCTTCTTACCAGCTATTGACTCCCAAACTATTCAGCATTTGCATTTTCATGAAACAGCTTTTTACAAATTGACTTCTTTTCTACCTTGGGGAACTCGTAACAGCTTCAGTTTCTCCTTTACCTGATGAAGGGTCTATGGCAGGTGCAGAGACCCACCTCAGGAACACAGCTGGGTATTCGTATCCCTCCGCTGTTTCCACCACGTGAGGCGGGCCAGTAGGGGGTGCTCCTGTGTTGAGCCACCCACCTCCCTGCGCCCGACCACCTTCCAGGCTCCAAATGCCTCCCTAGGGGCGCCTTATGTCCGGCCGACACCTCTCCCGGAGCACACTCGCTAGTCTGGGGGTAACGTGCCGCCACCACCCCAAGAATGGACTGTCTCACGGCCCTGTGTCCTTGGGGTAACACAGGCCTAAAGTCCCATGGGTACTCAACCCAGTACAGGCACTTGGGGTACTTCCCCAAGTCCGGAGGCAAAAAGGTATAGTCTCCCTTAGTCCACAGACCTAAGGGGTCTCTTAGGCATAATTTAGACCCACCCCTCAATAAGTCTCCCACACCAGTCAAAAAGGAGAACTTTATTGATTACAGGGGGTAGGGTAAACTAGGGTACAGGATAGAGCAATATCTAGAAATCCTAAAGAGCAAACAGTCTGGCTGTGGTAGCCTTTTGATTACGCATCTGTGATACTTCCAGCTAAATATCTAATCAGATTGAGTAGCTTACTCACAAGCATCTTCCAAAGGCAGGTGAAGTTTCCCTTTGGAGGCAGGCGGTTCCTAGCTCGTGAGTTTGGGGGGAGAGAGCCAGTTTCAGATGTTAAGGCTTCTCTGTCCCCTGCCTGGCTGCTGCGTCACCTCATGGCCGGAGAGGAGAGACCGCCTCCTTCCCCGTCCTAACTTATATAGCCCCTGTGACCTCATTCACCTGGGCCAGCGGAGGTCAGCCCCAGTTGGCTGTCAGCCAACCAATCTGAAATGTATCACCTGTTACCGGGCAGATCCCAGCTCCCCAGGTAGAAGCCCCTTACCCAGGTAAGTGATGCAAGTCACGTAGGCAGAGGGAGCAGGTTCCCCCTCCCTCAGGAATGCAGCCAGCTCCAGTTCCCTAAAGAGACAGGCTGAGGGTGTGGTCCCCTGTGTGCTGGGCCCACCCTAATTGAATGGTCACAGCACAGAGATTTAAATCACAGTGTCAGAGGGCAGAGATTTTTGGGGAGAAACCAAGGTGGCTTTCTGCCACAGGGCCTGTAGGCCCGAAAGCTTGCAAAGAACTTTTTTTTTTGCAACTTAATAGTTGGTCTAATAAAAGATATTACCTCTACCCAAAAAGCTTTGTCTGCCAGTGAAATTAAATGAACACTTCCAGCACCACCCAAGGGGCCACGTGGTCCCACAGCCCCCCATCTGCAAGCAGCTGGAGCAGCAAGCATGCACCCCAGTAACACCCCAGCTCCTACCTGCTGCTCTCTGGACCCAAGCACTGCTTTCCTTTAGAAAGTCAGGTTGCAAGCAAAGATTGCTGCCCCAGTGTTGCTTGCACAGGGTGCTCTGGAGGAGTGCATTTGTCAGAAACCATCCAGTCCTGGGCAAAGGGGGGTAGCGTGAAATACCCATGGGAGAAAATAGGCATCGCTACATCTACATCATCCATGCCCAGTGCCTGCCCAACCTTGAACACCTCCCTCAGGTGTACTGGGGGTTTGTAGTGTGTTAGCCATTGCCCAGCCCCTGATGACCACAAAGCAGGGGTGTAAAAGGCTGACCAGAAAGGAGCAAGTCCCCATTGCTGCCCTGAAGAGAGACAGGTCCCCTGTGCCCTCAGACCCTTCCCTGGCACCTTCTCCTGGCTAAGCAGAGGCTGCGCACGCATCCCAAGGTACCTACATCTACGTAGCTGGCATTGATGTAATCAGATGATGGCTCAGTGGATTGCAGCACCACTCGGGCATGATCATCTGAAAGACACAAGAGGACAGAGTGGGTCAGCAGTGAGATAAGCCATGTGCAGGAGAGAGGATGCACTGGTGAAAGTGGCCCTGGGAACTGCAGGCCCCCGGCCTGACATCAATAGCGTGCAGGGCTTTAGAGGGGGGTTTCAAGGACAGAACAAGACCTGGAGGCAAATGGCATGAAATGCAACAGAGGTTTATCCGAAAGACACCATATTAAACTGACCTGGTTGCTTGTTTTCATAGGTTAGTTGATTAGACAGTCAAAGGAAATGCAGCAGATATCATCCACGGGCACGTCATTGGATATAGATTCATAGATTCATAGATTAAGGGTCGGAAGGGACCTAGTAGATCTTCTAGCCCGACCCCCCGCCAGGGCGGGAGAACAACAAAAAACCCCAAAAAGAGAAATGGGACTCAAACGAGTCCAGCCAGGTAGGCATCCAGCCTCTTCTTAAAGACCCCCAGGGTAGGGGCCAGCACCACTTCCCTTGGAAGTTGGTTCCAGCTCCTAGCCGCCCTAAC